TATTTGCAAACCAAAAGGCAACCCCAGACTGGGAGATTTCATTTGCCGTTAAATGAGAACCAACTATAAATAGAACACCCATACTTTATTTTTAGTGATTTCGAGAAACGGTTGAGAGGTAGAAAGGAAATTTTTTTTTCTTATTTAACTTATTTTATAAGTTAGCACTCATTTTTGGCTTCAAATTGGGTTAAATTTTGGTTGGTTTTTTCTTTTAAATCTTCGTTAGAAGATTATTTTCTTTATAAGGTCAAGGGGTGTGGGATTTTACTAGATTTAAAGAGTTAAAGTTATAGAGAAAGTATCTCGCTTTATTACAAAGTGCAAATTCCGCTTTTTAACAACAAAAAAACTATGAAAGATAATATTATAGCAAAAAACTTATACTACCATGTGCAAATTAAATTTCCGCTTTCATAGCAATTTTTGCTAAATATTCAATACTATTCAAAGCCAAAAAAATACCACTTTATCCAAAACTTTTTTAACCAATTTTTAAAAGTATTATCTAAAAATGGGTTATGAACAAAGAAGAAATAAAAAGAATCTATTCACAACCAGCTACTCGAAAAGGAGAAAATAAATAATGGGAAATAATAAAGATTGAACAGATATTCATAAGGATTTTGATTATTACCAACAACTCTGAGAAGAACAAGGCTTAACTTACCAAGATGCCCAGCAATGAATTTCAGTAGGACTTAAACCATGAAATGACTATAACCTTGCCTCTCACTTAAAACAAAATAATATAACTCCTGAACAATATGCTCATTATAAAAAGAAAGTGTTGTTTTTTTTGTTGTTGGTTAAAAGCAGCAGATAAAGAAAGCATTCGTTTAGCTACTAAAAATAAGAAGCCTTTGTATTGAAAAAAAAGCAACTGACCAAGTATTAAAGAAAAAAGGAGATGCCAAGAGTTATTGGAACAATACAGAGAATGGGGGACTAGAACCGGTAGAAAGATAGGTCGTAAATAGTATGTGCGGGTTGATTTAGATTTGTTTTGATTACCAAAAACTTTACGGAAAAATTTTGATAGAGGT